TCTTTTCTCTGCTTTATTGAAAGAATACAGTATATGCCCACATATCAAATGTGTTAATCGACTGTTTCTGTTATTAGTAAGACTTCTGGTCAACAGTAGGCTGTTAGTAGTTGAGTTTTTGGGGAGTCAGAAGCTCTGAGTGGATTTTCAACTGCTGGGGTGGAGATGGGGGGGGCACCATGCATGCATTTACATTTTTTCTTTTTTTCCTTCCCCTTTTAAAAAATGTTTATTCATGTTTGAGTGGGGGGCAGTGAGGGGTAGAGAGAGAGAGGGAGACACAGAATTGCAAGCAGGCTCCCAAGCAAACAGCCTGACGTGGGGCTCAAACTCACGAACACGAGGTCGTGACCTGAGCCCAAGTCGGACGCTTAACCAACTGAGCCACCCAGGTGCCCCTTTTCTTCCTATCTTCATAATTAGTCTTTGCTTGTAATAACCTGAGGGGACACTGGCGATCATGGAGCTAAATCCCCCGTGAAGCACACTCTATGTCAAAGCATTCCTGGCACCACTCCCGCCTCTGCGTTTGGCAAGCATGGCTCTGCACGAGGCCGCCTCCTGAGTCATTCCGTCCAGCCCAGAGCGCCCGTGTGTCTTCTGAGAAACATCCTTGACTAGAGCGGTTCACAATAGGGCGTGGGAACTGGCCGGAGGCTCTGAAATCATTCTTTCTCTTCCTTCTTGGCACAAAGAGGCTAAGGAGCCCAGGCCAACAGGACAACTTGAGAGAGAGAAACCAGCATCACAGGAAGAGAAAGACAAGGACCAAAGGGCCTCCCCTCTGTCGCACTAACTACAAACCATTCATTTAAAAAAGAGGTGGGGGGGGGGGCGCGTAAGGCGCCTGGGTGGCTCAGTTGGTTAAGCATCTGACTCTTGGTTTTGGCTCAGGTCATGATCTCATGGTTCATAAGTTTGAGCCCTGTGTCGCTGACAGCGCAGAGCCTGCTGGGAATTCTCTGTCTCTCTTTCTCTCTCAAAAGAAAATAAACATTTAAAAACCAAATCCAATCAAATCAATGTTTCCCTGATCATTCCCTAATTTCTCTTTCTCCCTGGGCATTCCTACTATAAGCGAGCCTCCCTTTAGATTTTTTCTCTTTTTAGGCCAGTCTTACAGCACCCTACAGCACTGTTCACTTAACGATCCTTCCCCGGTCACACATAGGGGTGCCGGCTCCGTGGCATACCTAGCAAAAATGAGACACACATTGTTCACACAAACGAAGAGACTCCCTTCCTATACATGGAGGAAACGGGGTAGATTAGGCAATGGTGGGGGTCTCAGGTAGGGGGAGATTCTTCCTACGTCCTGCCTCAATGCCTGAGTCTGCTCGGAGGTCAGTGGCCCTGATCCTGACCAAGTGTTACGGAAATCAAGTCCCCCCCCCCCCATCCTCACCATCTCATCACTTCCAGCTGACCTGGGAGCTCCCCCAAAAGCCTTAGGTTGAGCATTCCCTGGGGCAAGGTGTCTTCTCCCTCAGCATCTAAAAACAAGTGGTGACACATGTAGTTTCTTCCCGTTCACTTTTCCCTAATGGGCCTTCCATCGATGGAGTGGAGAACCTGTCTTTGCGTGCGGTTATTAGTAAGGAAAACTAGGAGCCAGATCCAATCCCCTCACCCGGGTGGGTTGCAGGGGCGGGGGGGAGGGGGAGCAGGTGACAGGCTCAGCCAACCCAAGGCGCTTCCCCTGGTCTCGGAACCTTGAGAGGAAGGCAGGCTAACAGAGATGCCCGCAGGATCACCAGGGCTCATGGGGAGGGCACACTGGCCTGTTTCTGCTAAGAGATTGCTGCTGTGATTCTTGGGGCCTTACTTAGCCTCTGTTTCTTGATCCCAACTGTTAATTAAGCCTGATTCTTCAGCTCCCATTTACTCATGAGTTCTCTACTATTCTTTCCCGAAGTCCCTTTTACTTAGCCAGACTAGTTCTCTGAAGCTTTTAACCAGGAATGCCCACTGGTAGAACAGAGCGTCTGTGACCCCTGTGGTTTGGGCGATGGAGAGGAGATTCACTGGGAGGAACAATCCTATTCACTGAACAGGGTTGTGTTTCTAGGCTTGCTTGCTGTCCCAGGATGCTCTTAGGGCTCTAGCTTGGGCACCAGGACCATTACGCCATAAATGTCTTAAACGTCTTAAATGTGAGTTGCTTTCTATCTAAACCCAGGACAGTTGACACTGGCCAGGACCATCTTCCGGAGAATCAGGCACAGGGAAGAGACGGCCGGCTCCAGGATTCTCCTGTGACAAGACAGTGCCAGTTTCCTGTGGTCCAGGGTTGGCCTGGGAGATTGCACTGGTAGGCTGTTAGAAAGCTTCTGCAGTGCACCCCCTCCCGCCACCTAAACTAATCTTTTCCCTTTTGTGTAAATTCCCATTCCTAGCGGGGATGGAACTGTGGAGAAACAGATCTTTGTAATACGAGATCATCCCCAAGAATTATCGTCCTCAATTATTTTGCATAACTGGCTCTCTAGGAATGCCCACCGCTAGAGGGGAGGCTGGGAGTTTTGCCTCCAGGCAGGTGGTGCAAACTTCTCAAGCTGGCCAGGAGGTGGTGCTATTTGCATGAGGTCGGTTTAGGCTACTAAACGGAGGTTGTAGTCAGTAACCGGACCTCACTTTGCATCTACAAAAAAAATTTTTTTTTTTAGTGTTTGAGAGACAGAGGAGACAGAGTGTGAGCAGGGGAGGGGCAGAGGGAGAGAGAGGGAGACAGAATCTGAAGCAGACTCCAGACTCTGAGCTGTCAGCACAGAGCCTGACATGGGGCTCAAACTCTGAAGGGCAAGGTCATGACCCGAGCCAAAGTCGGACCTCAACCAACTGAGCCACCCAGGCACCCCTGAATCTTTTCACTTGCACTAATTAAAGGGATTAATTAGTGAAAAACAGGTGAAACTCAAATAATCTTGGGAGTGGGCAGAGAACTTTCTAAGAATGACACAAAACTCAGAAGTTATAAAAAGACAAGGTAGACGGCATAAAAATTTCTACGCTAAAAAAGCAGCAAAAAAAAAAAAAAAAAAAAGAACAGCAAACAGAAAAATAGCAACTTCTGTGACACACTAATAAAGAACTCTTACAAATAAATTTAATTAAAACATAGGAAGAGAAAGAACGATCTTGCCATTTGCAGCGACATGGATGGATCCAGAGGATTTAATGCTAAGAGAAATAAGTCAGAGATAGACAAATACCATATGGTCTCACTCACATGTGGCATTTAAGAAACAAATGAACAGGGGCGCCTGGGTGGCGCAGTCGGTTAAGCGTCCGACTTCAGCCAGGTCACGATCTCGCGGTCCGTGAGTTCGAGCCCCGCGTCAGGCTCTGGGCTGATGGCTCGGAGCCTGGAGCCTGTTTCCGATTCTGTGTCTCCCTCTCTCTCTGCCCCTCCCCCGTTCATGCTCTGTCTCTCTCTGTCCCAAAAATAAATAAAAACGTTGAAAAAAAATTTAAAAAAAGAAACAAATGAACAAAGGGAAAAAGAGACAAACCAAGAAACAGACTCTTAAGTAGAGAGAACAGATGGTTACCAGAGAGGAGGTGGGTGAAACAGGTTATGGGGATTAAGAGTGCACTTGTTATGGGGAGCCTTGGTTAAGTGCCCAACTCCTGATTTTCACTCAGGTCATGATCTCATGGCTGGTGAGTTCAAGCGAGTTCAAGCCTGGAGTTGGGCTGTGCACTCACAGCATGGAGCCTGTTTGGGATTCTCTCCCGGCCTTCTCTGCCCTTCCCCTCCCCTCTCTCTCTCTCTCAAAATAAATAAGCTTAAAAAAAATTCTTCTAAAAAAGGGTGTGCGTTGTCGTGATGAGCGCTGAGTAATGTATGGAATCGTTGAAGCCATATATTGTACACCTGAAACATAGAACATTGTATCTTAACTATTGGATCAAAAGAAAAAGAAAACAAAAAAAAAACAAAAAAAACCATGGGAAGATATTCATTCACTGATATCTCTCAGTTCACAGAAAAGGAGATTAAAATTATCCAAATAAACATAAAACATCTTTCAACTACTCATGAAATTTTCATAAAAGTGAAATGAAATATAAATTAAAAATTAAAGCAACAAATGTAGTCATTTGCTTGTGCGCCTCCAGTGACTGGTCTGCATAATAAAAGCATTCACAATTGTCGTATCACAGACCACTGACAGCGTGTTTGTTTCCATCCTCATATTTCCCCCTTGGGTTTCCAGACGGTTTCTCACCTGTTGGCAGGAGGTGTTGGGGCAGTCCTTTCTTCGAGGGCGCCAACTGTGGGAAGGACAGAGGCGGATCTCCCACTCTCACCTCCCAAGGCTGAGACCCACGGTGAGCGGCGCTAGCGTCGGTGACTGACACCGAGCCGTGGAACAGGTGTGCTGGGCGCGGCGTCCGCGCCCGGGGAGGTGATGATGGGGCAGGCTCCGAGAAGACCAGGTGGACGAAAGAAGGGAGTTCTTCGGTGGCAGAAGAGGCGGGGACTTGCCTCCAGCAGGAACGCCACGTGCGAAAACAAAGGGGTGTGCCGAGGCCAGGTGCGACCGTGGACTTGCAGGTTGAGGGAGGGGGCGCCGGGCTCGGGCAGCCGCGGGGAGGGGGGTGCTTTTCCCGGGCGGACTCCCGCCTGCTCCGGGCACAGCCTTCGGCGGCGCCTAACAACATGCCTTGCCACGCAGTCCCCTCCACACAACTTTCATTTTTTATAGGCAAGTACGCGGAGGCCTTCGGAAAGTGAAATGACCCGCATCAGGTCACAGCTCTGGTCCACCCTGGGGTCCTGAGGGCCGGTCCGCGGATTGGCCTGCCGCACTGCCAGGGCCGTCCACGCTGAGCGGCGCTCCCAGCCCGCGGCCCGGGCCGCCGCTGTGGACTACGACTCCCACAATGCCCTCGGCCCAGCCTCCTCCCTCTGGCCGTCTCAGGAGAACCAGTAGAAGAGCAGGATTTCCAGGGGCCGTTCTCGGCGGCCAATAAGCGCGGTGGGGGGCGGGCCTCTCCCGTCCATTGTTCTCGGTGCCCCTCGGGCTCGAGCCGCGGTGGATCCGGAGGGGTCGTGTTGTGCCCGGGGGCGCTTTTGCGTGCGGAGTGGCTGCGGAAGCCCGATCTGGTCTCCCGAGAGGTGAGCCCGGAGAGACGGGCCGGGAGCTGCGCGGGCCGGGGAAGTAGCCCGCAGCAAGGGGATAACGGGCCTGGAGCCAGTGCGGGCAGTCCTGCTGGGGGAGGGGCGTCGGGGGCGCTGTCCGCGACAGTGGGCCGGGGTCCCAGGGTGGGACGCCTGGGGTCAGCTCGGCGAACGCACCCGAACCTTGCTCGCGGGCGGTGACCTGCCTGCAAGTTCAGTCAGGGGCGCGGGATTGGGACTGGAAGGCACTCTGGACGGCGTCCCGCTCAGCTCCTGGTTTCACGGATGGGGAAACTGAGCTTCCGAGGGGGCGTGTCTTGCCCGGGTCCGAAAGCGAATGAGCTCACCGGGTGCAGTTTTCCCGGGCTCCCGAGCAGGACTTCTGTTATACCTGTGCCTCTTCTAGCCCTTTGGTAAATAACACATTGAGAGCTTCAGTGTTCCCACTAGCTTTCTTCTTCTTTTTTTCCTTCTTCTTCTTCTTCTTTTTTTTTTTTTTTTTTTTAGTTTTTCCTTCCCAGTTTTCCTTTTTTTGGGGGGGGAGGGGGGGAGGAGGGTTGTTATCTGAGTCTTTACGATATAGTAATGATTTTTAAAGAATAATTTTCCCTTTTATAGTCTTTGAGTAGTAATTTCACTGCTCCCAACATCTTGTGTAATTAACGTCCGAAGTTTTTGTTTTGTTTTGTTTTTTGCCTTGTATACGTGTTCATTTTTAAAGGGATTTGGGGTCATACTTTGTCTAGTGTTTCTGTTTTGCTAGGTGTGTTTTTTTCCATAATTTTCATATTTATGAAGATTATCCCAGATTATTAATGGTTAATAATAATCTTTGTGAGCATAATTTTTTAAAATATTTGAAACTACAGCAGATTGCACAAATCTGAGATTTCATATGTATGTTTTGTGCAACCATCATCAAATCAATGTGTAGAACGTTTCTAGCACCCCAAAGGCTTTGTTGAGCCCCTTCTCAGTCAGTACCCCTGCCCCAAGGTAACCATTATTAAATCAGCATATTTTTTAAAAAATTGGCATAAAATAAATATATTTTACTGTGTGGCTGTGCCATAATTCACTATTCCTCTGCTGCTGGATTTTTAAAACGTCAGGTTTGTTTTGCAATTAGGAACAATGCCACGGTTTTGTTTCCTTGCAAATATATTTTTCTTTACAAAGATGATTATTTTTAAAGATAAATTCCTGAGGGGCCGAGTCTGCATTGAGGAGAATGAACGTTTTAAAACTTCATACTTTTTTTTTCTCATTTATAATTTTAATCGAAGCATTGCTGTTTATTTTTTAAAACTTCATACTTCTATGGTAATAATGCAGTTAAGGTATTGCCTTCCTTCCAGCAAGGCTCACAGTATCTTCACACCTGATCCATTGCCAATCCTGAAGATGTCCCCGTAAGAAGGATGGTCCCTGAAGTTAAGTGACTAAGTTGTGTGTTAGGTCAAGGTCATTCCGCAGCAAGTTTGAACTGATTCAGGGCAGAGTAACTCAGTCCTGGGTTCTTCGGAGGGCTTTGGATTTCTGATACTCCTGCTTTTGGAAAGAAAAGTGCTTGTTTTTTGTGCTTGTGATTCATCTATTGCCGTAGAAAAGTTTTCAGGAATAAGCCATTTTTCCTTTAAGAGAGGCAGGAAACTTCTGTTGATCTGTGGAGGTAAGAATCACTTGGTGGCCTGACCTGGGCTGCTGTGAGTTAGATCCCTGTAGGACAGTCTGCTTATTGATTGTGGTTCCCTTTTCTCACTTCTCAGCCAGACAGCTTGTTGAAATTTGAGGACGGAGGTGTCTTCTCAGACGAGCCTGGCTCTAGAAGACTGACGTTCAAGGCTCGAAGCCTGCGGGATTGCCTCGGGAAGGTGGATGATGGCTGCAGAGGGGCCGAGAGTAAGCACTCCCTTGAGCCCCTTGGTCCAGGCGCCTCATGAGGAAGACGAACAGGAGGAGGTCACCACCATGATCCTGGAGGACGACTCTTGGGTGCAGGAAGCTGTACTTCAGGAGGATGGCCCTGAGTCCGAGAGCGCCGGCAAGGGCAGCCCCCACGGGGAGGCTGCTGGAGGGCCTCAGGGTGCGCTTGGCCGCCTTCGGGAGCTCTGTCGGCGCTGGCTGAGGCCGGAGGTGCACACCAAGGAACAGATGCTGACGGTGCTCCCCAGAGAAATCCAGGCCTGGCTGCAAGAGCACCGGCCCGAAAGTGGCGAGGAGGCCGTGGCCCTGGTGGAGGACCTGACGCAGACCCTTCGGGACGGTGGTAAGACGCCGGGCCTCACCGGGAGGGTGGGCACGTGCCTCCGATGAGGGGCAGTGTGGTGTTTGTGGCAGAGGAGAACGTGGCGTCCAGGATGGAGCCCGGTGCAGCCCATTCTCCTGCTCTGTCTGCAGGCGGTCGGAACGCTGTCACCCCGTTTAACGCCCTTGTTGTGTGCAGTGACAATTCCAGAATTTCACAGGACTACGCTCGGAGCTCTGTCTGTGCAGTAAGCACAGTTTTTATGTCTGTGCTTATTTGGCAAGGGTGGGAAGCCGGTGGAGGTGGGGGAGGAGGGCGGCTGGAGACCGAGTAAACCACCCCCCTTGGCACCTTCCCTTGGTTGTGCAATAAACGTTCAAATATTTGCATTGCCAGCAATTAGAAAAAACAGATAATCCTATGTTCAAAGAGTGATTATTTTTATGGAACCAAGATCAGTGACGAGTAAGCCAGCTAATGCCTAGGAACTGTCTGTTGAAGTCATCCCGGGTTCTTGGCAACAGTTAACATACTTGTCTCCCGTGTCAGCGATACCTTCTGGGACGTAGACATGCCATTTCACTACTCTGTCTCCGTTCGGGGCTTCGGTTGTGGACTGAGCTCCCTGCTTACCAAATGCCTTCCTTTAGGCTGCTCCAGGACCCGTCGATCGTGGCTGCCTTTGCACTGCCCAGAACCGTAGACGTTCAGAGAGAGCAGAGGACGGGAGAGGTCAGGGAGGATGTGGGACTGGAGCAGGAGGTCGTCGGCTGGAGTGGAATTTGGAAAAGGTGCAGGGCGGCGGGGAGGGGTTGGCACGAAGCTCGCTGGTTCAGTAAGGGAGGCCCGCTGGTTGGAGTAGAAAGTGTGTTTTTAGGAAGCGGTAGGATGTGGAGCACGGGGGCAGGGTGGGCTTGGACTGGATGTCGCTGGCCTCAGCAGGTTCTTGAACTAGAGCCCAAGCATGGGAGGAAGCGGAGTTTGGCAACAGGAAGTAGGTTTGATTCGAGTAGGGAGATGCTGGTGACAGGACAACAGCCGGGCCTTGGCCGGGCTGAGGTGGGGACAGCTGGAGAAGGGGAGGAGACCGGACACACCTAAGGTGAACTGGGAGTAACACTGGTTAGCGTTTATGGAGTCTTTTCTGGTCCGGGCCCTGTGCCTAGTATCTACGATGCAAAACTCACAGACCCTTCACCATCTTGGGAGAGAAGCGGGATTATCACCAGAGAAACTGAGTGACTCCCCAAAGATCACGCAGTGAGTACAAGGCCAAATCAGGATTCGAACTCATGGGTCTGAGGACACGGTTCACGTTCTTAAGCATTTCATCACAGATGTGGTGCAGAGCGATAGTTCCCAGTGAGGGATTGGAAAGAGCGGACGCAGGCGAGGACGAAGACAAAAGGGGGCTGACTCAGAGGTGTCTAGTCCGGAGGATTCAGAAGACTGGAAGAGAAGAGAAGGAAAGGAAGGTGGTTTGGGAGCAGAGGTTGTGACAATGCCTAGGGACGTGGGAGGTATGAGTAAAGCTGTCTTTTGGAGAAAGGGACTGATGTCAAGGGCCCACTGTGAGCCCAGCTCTGCCCTGGGCACCTTATGTGGCCATCTCACTGGCAATCCTGGGGACCGCTGTCCTGTTGCAGATGAGGAAATGGAAGCTCCACCAGGTCAAGGCCTTACTCAGTGTCACACACAGCTGCCAAGTGCTGGGGCTGGGATTCGCGCTCTGGTCTGTGTGCTTCCGTGTGTGTTTCGTAGTTTTTTCTTTCGCGTTGTTTTGTTTTTTGAGCAGCAGGCAGAAGTTTATATTAGAGTATAAGACCCGAAAGGAAGAATAGTATGAAAGCTGTCTTTACAGAGACGGGGGCACTTGAAAGTGAATACCCTCGTGTTCGGTAGGTTTTATTTGAAGCGAAGTACCTGAGTTTCTTTGGCCCTGAAAAATAACTTTTAATCTTACTCTTCCTATTTAAGAAAACAAAACCAAAAATCTGTCATCCTATCCTGAAAACTTAACTTACCTGCCTCTTGACGGATGTGACAAGCTTGTGATGAACTTCAGGCTCTTCAGTCTGAGGCTGTGGAGAGGCCAGAGGGGTTGAGGGCTGGGGAGTGACCCCTGGGTTGTTTAGTTGGGGAAGTCACAAAACAGAGGGTCAGGTCTCGGCAGGTGTCTGAGGTGGTTACAGGCACCCCCTGCTACGACCCTCCCCACCTGGCTTGCTGCAGGGCTTTGTGCCTCTTATCAGCCCCAGAACATCCAAGATGGGTTCTTCAGTCCTCTGTCTTCTGCCCTTTCGATCGGCTTTGTTGGTCTCCATTCATTTCATAAAGTCGTCTGCCCTCCTCGCCCCCCCCCCCGTGATTACTCAGAGGTACACCTGTGATCATCTCCGTCCTTTCTCATTTATTCAGCGTAAGACCACTTGACCTCCGTTCTGTTTGTGCAGCTCGGCACCTTTGGACATGTTTATCCAGCACCAGACATTGCAAGGCCTGGTTAGACAGTGGTTATTGAATGTTTCACTACCAGGCACATCTAGGTACTCACATTTGAAGGTTCTTATAAGTTCAGTTAAGACAGGACTTGTGTGAATAGCTGAGGTGGTAACACTCATCTCTCCTTGTGTTTCCCAAGGACACTTCCGTCCTCATTCACAGCCCTGAGCCAGGCCCTTGGTATTTCTCACCGGCACCCCCGTAGCAGGCATGGCTTCTTCCCCGTCCCTGCCCCTGTTCCAGTCCCACCTGAGTGATCGGGCGCTCTCCTGCTGAAAACTCTCATGAGTTCCCCCGTGTCTCCAAATCCAGCAGGACCTATTTCTTCGGCCCGGGACCGGGGCTTTGTGTGACCTGCCCTGCGGCTGCCCTCGGTCATCACGTCACTGCCCCTGCTCCATTCACACCAGATCTTGCTGTTCCTTGAACGTAGCTGGTGCTTTCTAGCGTTCATCTGTGCTCCTGAATTTAGAGTTGGAATGGCTTTGTCCCGTCCCTGTGTGAGAAAACCCCGGGAGTCCTTTGACTGCATACCCTTGGAGATACCCTCCATAAAGCTGTCCTTACTTCTGGTCCCTCTTCCTGTCCCCAGGTCCAGCCACCCAAGAGCGTCCCTGATCATCTCTTCCAGAAACCATCTCCCCCAGGGCGTTTGGAACCTCCTTGTCCTTTAGCTTTTGATTATGTTCCATGTTGTTTTCCAGTTATGTGAAGGGTTGACTTAGTTCTTCTAGGAACCTATAAAATCCCAGAAGGCATGGAACCTCTTACCTTTCCTTTCCCTCCCTCCGTCCTACCCTTTCTTCCTTTCCTTTCCTTCCTTCCTTCCTTCCTTCCTTCCTTCCTTCCTTCCCTCTTTCCTTTCCTTCCTTCTCCCTCAGCACTGCGCACAGTGCCCCACTCACAATGGGAACTCACGAAGTGTTATTGGTATGAATAAGTAAATCCTTCCTGCCCATCTGCAGGTGTGGAGACCCTCCCCTGCACAGTCCACGAAGGAAGCAGACAGCTTCTTCATTCCAGGCTTTCTGCCTCTCCTTGAGGAAGCCGTGCTAAGCTTTTGTTTTATTTTTATATTTTTAAATGTTTATTTATTTTGAGAGCGGGGTAAGGAACAGAGAGAGGGGGAGACAGAGAATCTGAAGCAGGCTCTGCGCTGGCAGCAGCGAGCCCGACTCAGGGCTCGGACTCACCAACTGTGAGATCACAACCTGAACCGAAGGTGGGACACTCAACCAACTAAGCCCCCCAGGCGCCCCTAGTCACTGTAGAATTGAGGCAGTTTGACCCAGTGCTGTTCTGTAATTGCTCTACCCAGGTTTCATCCAACTTTCTGTAAGAGGTAAGTAGACACTGTTGGAGCCTACGGTGGCCTTCCCCAGACTCCCCACTACCGTGTTGGTGCTACATCAGAGGAAAGGGGAAATGCTTCTCTCCTGATACATAGATTTCATCCCACAGAAGCTCCATCACCCAAAAAAGGGACTACTGACATGAGAGGGGAGCAAAGGGAAATTATTGGGCTCAAGATGGATAAATTCCTGATAGATCAGTCCTCTGACCATTAGTGCAACGTGTGGTCCCTGGACCAGCAGCATCAGCGTCATCTGGAAATGTGTTAGAAACGAAATTCCTGGGCCCCACCCCGGACCGATGGAACCGGAAACTTTGAGCATGGGGGGTTTAACAAGCCCCCCGAGCGATCCTGATGCTGTCTCCACTTTGCGGGCCACCATGCTACACCTCTGGTTCTCAAACTTGACCACACTTGGGAACCACTTGGGGTCCCAGAGCCCACTCCCAGGGATTCTGATTTTCTGATTTAGTTGCCATGAGGTGTGGCCCAGGCAAGGAAGTTTTGAAAGCTCCCGAGTGGTCCTAAGATGCAGCAAAATTTCAGAACCACTGCTTAGAGCCTGGTTACTCAAAGTGTGGTCCATGGACCAAAGATACTGGAATCACCCGGTGCTTGTTAGAAAGGTACACTCAGTCTCACCCCAACCCAAGTGAAGCCAAATCTGTATTCGAGAACTCCAGGTGGTTCGTCTGCACTTGGAAGTTTGAGAGGCCCTGCTCTGGCTTAGAGAGCATTGGAGGTTGTCCACTTCAGACCTACTCTTGTCCAACAGTCGAGCCAGAGTCACAGCTGACCTCTCCAGCCATCTTTAGAATCATCTGGCTTTTGAGCACAGGCAACAGGTGACCTATTCTGAGTTTTCTGCCACAGCAAAATGCTCCCTTTATGACAACAGAGCAAATACATTCGTTTTTCTTAAGAAGGAGAGCAGAGAAGGTGTCTGTCTTTTTAAAGCCACGATTCTTGGGGTGCCTGGGTGGCTCAGTCGGTTGAGCGGCCGACCTCGGCTCAGATCACGATATCGCAGTTTGTGGGTCTGAGCCCATGTCGGGCTCTGTGCTGACAGCTCGGAGCCTGGAGCCGGCTTCGGATTCTGTGTCTCCCTCCCTTTCTGTCCCTCTCCCACTCAACGCTGTGTCTGTCTCCCAAAAAGAAACAAACA